TTATTTTCTCTTCTACTTCTTCTTCTTCATTTTAGAATAAGAAGGAGAAAAAACCATGCATCGACTATTTCTACTCCCTGAAGAATGTCTCCTTTTGCGCTTTTCACCCGAGAGATCATCGTTTCATTGGTTTTATTACAAAACACCCAACTGTTCAACGTTTCGCATGTCACGTGTTTAAGGGTTCCGAATCAACTCGGCCAGTAGCAGAAGCAGTGGGGTAAGAACTTACTTAAAAAAACAGTTACACAAAGCTATCTATTTACCACAAATCCCTTTATAATAATATCTTGCAAGAGAGCATAAGGCGCAATACTTCATCTAACAATGATAGTCTCGCCTCCGCTTGCTAACTCTAGCCAAGTCAACAACAACATTTACAAGAAACTCTTAATTATGAGAGTTTTTTGTTGCTAGCAATGCCATTTTTATATAAGGAAGTACAAAGAGATTATCTTAGGCATTCCAAAGATTCCTAATAGTCTGTCCCGTTAAGGTGGCGTTGTTTTTCAATGGACTTGAAATTTTTTAAAATTAGCTCAATGCATTTAAGTCATCTGGAAGATGTGACTAATCAATTTTCTCCAATCTTCTCCGATTGTCCGAACTGTAAATGATTTCTTCAGAATGTAGTGAATACTCGCACTTTTAGCTCTTTTATCATTATTACAGCGAGCGACAGCTATTTGCTGAAATTGTGAGAAAAGTCATTTGAAAGATAAGATTACGGAATGATGACTAAATGAATTTATAATTACAATTAAATAGACTTTTTGCGTTTCGAATAAACATTATAATTGTCTCTCTCTCTTTCTATTTGCAGACGTGCTTTTCAACGTTTTTATCAAAAATTCATTGAAACCGCGTACCCCATTGAAGACATTTATATAGAGTAAAATGCCGCTCGGTATTAGAGGTTCTAAGCGGCGTTGTGTGTGTGGGTGGGTGTGTGTGTGTGTGTGTGTGTGTGTGTCTGTGTGGGTGTGTGTACACATAAGCAAAATAAATTTTGCGAAAATGCAAACAAACACATAAAAATGTACGCATGCATATATAAAATTTAATTTCAAAATACACATATATAATAACAAAAACTCATAAAAGATTAAATATTCTATTGTTTTACTCATCAATTAATTAGTTGCGATTGTTTAACCAAAAAAATAAGGTCGCTCAATTAGGTAATGCGATCTTTCATGTGATCATCGCCTGACACACATCGCTGTCGCGAGTACTTTTCTGCCACCTCACAATCTTTCTCCTACTCCATATGGAATAGTTGTTATCCTACCTTTGAAAAAATGTTACATATCAATACATGATAATATGAATTACAATATACACCATAGCCAGTTCAAAAATTTTCCTTCCTCCCTTCAATATGGTATAAAGCTTTAACAGCTTGGAAAGCAAAGTTCTCCAAGTAACTCAAAAAAGATACGTTTATAGTAGTGTTAAAATCAAGTATGTAAGAAAAAAAAACAGTCCACAATGTTCTATTAACAGTTTTAGGAAACACGACTTTATTTGCTTGCACCACTTCATTGGACGCAGTCAAATTTAAAAAGGGGGGAAAAATTGAAATTAAAAAAAATTTATTTAAAAATTGGAAACAGACACATTGAACAATATCCAAATTCCTACTAATATAAGATAAGAAGGTATATATATATATATTCATAATTTATGGTGATGTCTTTCGCAATACATTTCATCTGAATTTCAATTATGTTTACTTATATTAGAAACTAATTAATACTAATAACCTCTGAACGCAAGTTTTGAATTTCTTGGTGGCGCTGCAAAAGGCTAAGACATTGATGTAAACACTGTGTACTTGCTGCTGATATTGCCTTTAATATTAATAAATCAGGATCTGTAGGTGAAAATGTTGCACATTCCATATTTTCGATAGTACGAGCCAAGGAAGCATTGCTTTTTATTTTAGAAAAATAGAAAATTAACGAAAATATTCATCTCTTTTAACTTATTAATGCAAACAGTTACCATTGTTCAGTTAAATAGAGCGCCTGTCTAGCCGAGACCATGGCATCTGATGCCGCAAGCAATTCACGCGGCGGCAGAGGCGTTGAATTATTTATATCCATGGCTTTTGTATGACTCTCCACAACAGCCCTCAAACCGTCAACCCACTCTTGCCGCGCACGCGCATCTGATGCCCTTAATTTAAGAGTGTCGCCCGAGGCGCAGCCTATTGAAAACGTCCGCGAATCCTCATCACTGGGGCAAACAACTGCACCGGCCAAGTGAACTTGACCGCGGGGGGCGCCCGAAAGAACATGGGCAGGTGGATGCACATCATCACCCGAAGATGTAGAGTCAATTAAATAATAACTAAGAACACCACTTTGAGGATCAACGCTAAACCATCGATACTGCCATCCTGTAATTATTGTGCCCCTAAATTCGCCGGCATTCCACAAAATATTTTGCCTTTACAAACCTTTCATTACATTCGTATATTTACATAATAGTCCATTTAATTGGTGCCTGACTCCTTGATTTAAAACCCTATTTAGGTTGGTTTCCATTTTGCACAGCTCTACGCATCTAGGTTTTTTCGGCCTTTTTTTTTTTTTGTTATTTTTTCTTAAACAAAAATATTTCCTGCTTCTGCACTCGGTGTATTTTCTAAATCCAAAATATCTGCGATTATGGCGATTTATTTCTTCTTCGACAGTTCAACTTGAATTTTATATTACGAATAATTTCCGTAAATTTCTTTACGATACTACAAAAAAATACTGCATTCTCCTCTTCAATAAATTACACAAACAAAATCAGTATAGTCGTAAGCCATTCCATACATACATATGTACATACGAATAATAAGTCGGTTGGTATAGATTAATAACACTTAGGCTGCAAACACAATATTACGAAATCAACTTTTCATGCAACTTTGTGGGAATCGGCATACCATATGATTTTATGAAGGTGTTTTATGTTTATTTTGCACAAATTTAAATCTTCTTCATGTTATATAATTTAAAATTTTGCTTTGAACGCTTTATTATTTTAGAAGATATAAAAAACAAGCAGCAAAAGCAATTCATTTTGAACTTAAGATATATATCCCGAGTCGACATTTTTACACAATTCTTTTGCTTCATTTAAAGGGAGAGGCTGACACAATGAAGCGTTATTCCTACTTTCGGGGTGGGGCTTCAACTTAGCCGAGCTTTTGCAAACTTGGGAATCGATAAATTATATGGTCTTGCATGCCTGCAGACAAATACAACAAAAGGGGAAAAAAATACAAGAAGGAACGATGATCGTTTCTTTTAAATTTAAAAGTTATTTGTCTTAATCGTCATTAATCTGCATTTTTTTTTTATATTGTGTGATTGAAAATTGATATTGAAAAACAAGCAATAAAGACCATTTACTTTAAAGTTGAAATATATTCGCCAAATTGTTTTATTAGATAATAATAAATGGCAGTTTTCAAATTAACAATCAATTAATATACAAAATTATAACTAAGATGCACATACTACATATATCCTATCCATTTCTTCATCACTAATTAATAGACAAGCTTACTTACTTTAATATTACCTTCCTTATTGCTATCTTTTATAATTGTTTTCATTTTTGATTGTAAAACCAAATGTTGCTTCGGAAATTTTTAACCAAAACGAAAATAATGCCTCATTTCGTTGACGTGATTCTAAATTTTCTGAAATTTGCAAAATCAATTATTTACTTTTTTTTATTTTATAGGACAATAAATTGATAAGAAGCTGAATAATTTATTTGCAAGTTAGAAGACAGTAACATACTCAAAAGGCATTAACTTAACTTAACTTAACATATCTGTACTATATATATCCCTGTGTAAAAATGGAATAAATATTACATTATTGCCATACGTGAAAACGAAAAGTGGGAAAAGCAAAAACAAGAAAAACATAAAATACATAATACCGAAATTTTCTCATTATTGACTAAAATATAAAAAAATCATTGATTTATATTTGGGAACTTTGGGGGCTTTGCTTAAGGAAAACGTATATGAAAAGAGGGTAATTTATTATTATAGTTGAGAAATCATTTCAATTGTCAAAATAGCAGAAATAAAGCAACGCAAAGATCCAGAAAAGAATCTGGAAGCGGAAGAGGTCGATATATGACGTTCAATTTGTGCATTTACTTTGTAAGACAAAATCCAACTGCCCCCGATTTTATAAGCGCAAGCAATCCCTGACCAAAAACACATATACCATCAAGAGGTAAACAAAATCGAAAAATCGAACAAACAAGGCTACACCTTTTTAGTGGAATAGAGCGAGCGTGCAGCAATGGCAGCAAACGATTCTGGTGTGGACACAAGCAACATATATCCCGATGAAGTTATTATGGATAATGGTGTTGCATTCAATGTGCGGGTAAATAAAAAGAAAAGCCATCGTTGGTCCGCAAATGTAATAATCATGTTTAATTTTAAGTATACTGGTTGCATTGAGGTAAACACTTCCATGAAATCATTAGATTTCGTTACAAGAACTCAAGTGGCGAGGTACACGATGTTTGTAAATTTTACTTTCTCTTTACTATTACACACTTTTATTTGCTAAACCCTTTAAGAGAATGCATTAATCGTGTTTGCGAGGCCGCTGGCCTGAAGTCTGGTAAAAGACACATGGACAAGAAAATTGCTCAGTACATAGCTGATAGGCCATGTATGCGAAATGCTGGTACCAATGTTATCATAAACGTTTCCAGTCGTTCTTTGAATTTAATTAATGTAGATAATGGAGAAATGGTTGCCTGTCATCAAATGCCTCGCATATCTTTTGCCTCTGGCGGAGATTCTGTAAGTAAACATTTGTTTCTAATTTATATTAATTTGTCATCACCGCCTGTAAATTTTCAATTAGGATACTCTGGACTTTCTAGCTTATATAGCCAAAAATGAAGACGAATGGCGTGCCTGTTATGTTCTAGAATGTATTGGTGGCCAAAGCGAAGATTTGATTGTTACTATTGGCAAGGCGTTTATGTTGCGCTACAATGCTTTAAGTCATAAGGAGTATGGTTTTTAGGTTTACCTTATAAATTTTTCTAAAATTTATTTAAATAGGCATCATACCCCGGATAAAGAATATTATAATGATCTACCTAATAAATTTCCACCGGATTTGCTAAATGAAAATGATTTAAAGTGCCAGCAGCCACAACTTAAAAAACTTATGTCTGCGCAACATAAAGTGACTCAACTGAATTTGAAAAAACCAAGAGATCGGCTTAGCAGTAATTTAATTGATTTAAATAGCCCGCCTCCCGATCAGAGTAATAATAAAATGTTACCTGGCAGTTTTGATGGCAACAAAGACAATGCGATCAATACCCCATTCTCACAACCACCTGACGTCTTTGACATACGTAAGCAGCGATAATGACGAAATATATAAATTCATTTAAAAAATATATCTGGCCTTTAGCATCCTTTTCTTTATCAGCTGAAGTGCAGCGTTCCCAGTTGATGACTGAATCATGGTTCCATGGCACTATAAGTCGACCCGTGGCTGAAGGTCTACTAAAGAACGATGGGGATTTCTTGGTGCGTGAATCACAAGGCAAACATGGTCAATATGTTTTAACCGGTTTAGCTCATAAATCGCCCAAACATCTGCTATTAATCGATCCCGAGGGTGTGGTACGCACCAAAGATCGCATTTTCGAAAGTATCAGTCATTTGATTAACTATCACTGGACAAATTCATTGCCCATTATATCGGAAGATTCTGAACTGGTGTTGCGGAATCCTATCATACGAGTAAATATGTTAGGCCAAAGTTCGAATATACACGCGCACCATCATCATCACATGTTACATCACCATCACATACAATTATGTAAAGATTGAAGAGCTTTAAAAACATTTTTTTAAACGAACATCTATCTATATATCCTTCTTATGGTCTTATGGTTTTATAAGCAAAAGAACATGAAAGTAAGAATTTTCAGTGTTTTTTAAAACTATACTTATTACTTATATATATATATATATATGTATACTTGTGTAATGCACCACCTGCATGTGTATGTATTAAATAAAACGGGCAAATGCAAATTGTTTTGGTGCCATTGGTTTGACGTATAGCGCTTTTCCAGTTCCATACTACGCTTATTTTCACAATAACCATAAACGAAAAAAAAAAACAATTAAACGACCGATTTCGGTCGCTGCTTATTAATTGATATTCGAAATACCCGTTGAGTCACATAATCTTACCATGTTTTCCAAAATATTTTGCGGATTCCGGAAATTATTTTGAAAAGGAAACTTTCATTTGTTGGTGAACCACATACACAACAATTTTTGTAAGATCTGCTCGAGGTCGTAATGTATTTGAAAACTTATTTGTCATCTTCGAACATTCGAATGGTAAGCGGCTTCAAATTGTTGGTGGCATTCACTTCCATGCGATGAATTTCGAGTTTCTACCACTCTTTGGGTAGACTAACACAATAAAAATTTCATAATTTTAAAGAAGTCACTACAGATTAATTGTCATTATATTTTTAACATTTGTTTTTTTTTTATTAAAAAGTGTACAGAAATTTTTACAAACTTAAGCTCAAAAATATTTCATGTATTTTTCGAAAATTTTTGCGAACATTAAGCAAATTATTTAGAAAACCCATAAAATAATAAAAGTTAAGCAAACATTTACAAATCGAAATTAATATATTGACTTCGAAAAACCAAGCACGGAGAAGAAAAATTATTGAAAAATATTACCTTGAACCTTAGAGCCTACTACAAATATATATCACGTAAGCGATATACATGTATTTTCATTTCATTGTGTTATAGGCTGGCTCGGTATATATTCAACACTCTTTGCTAATATTGAAGTCCATCATTATTTACCAAGGAAATAAAATTAGAGTTACTCCGTGCTAAAGCCCGTAGCACTAAATTAGTGAGCACGCGAAATATCACGAGACAAATAAGAAATGCATGTACCAATGTTATACGCTCAACTGTGGTTCATAAATTTAGATGAGACGAACTACGATTCCGCTACGATAAGATTGAACCAAAAAAAAAAAAAGGAATTCATAGTAGGCGCGATGATCTTCGTAAAAGGTTTATTCTAAGCTAAATACCAACCCATCACATTGTTGAACATGATTTCCTTTGCAACATGTGGGCCTATTCACAGCTATTGGGTTTCCGAAAAGGTGTTATGCAGTTAAACTAATTTTCCTAAGTATTTTCAGTATGTATCTAACGAAATGTACTTATTTCCTTTGATCGAACTTGTCACCAATTTAATGGGTAACTGATCGCTGATCACTGATCGTGATCTTTTCACATAGACAGGATACATACGTTTATATTCCATTGAAATAAAAAGCCTATACATTAGAGCAATTAGTACTTATTGTTATATTAGACTTAATGTTGAGCTTCAAAGAGAAATGAAACGTAAGAAGAATATTGAATATACAAAACATTCTTTTAATAGAGATTGGTATGCATGCATTATGTGGAAGTATCGTCTAAGAACTATCCAACAATACGGGAAATTGATCGTTTGTTTCTAAATATACAAAGCTTGGGTTTTCGCCTAGCTCAAGACGACCATAGCGAGCTATTAATTGTTTACTACTGACTGGTCGCGACCATTTACGCTTAGGTTTTGAGTGTGTGAGCATATGGCTTTTCAAATTGGTCGATTGCGCGAAACACTTGTGGCATCCCTCGACGGGGCAGTGATAAGGCCGGTCGCCCGTATGTATGCGCACGTGAGTGCGCAAATTGAAATCAAGAGAAAAACGTTTACCGCAACCTTCGAATGTGCATTCGAAAGGTTTTTCTCCTGTATGCACAAGCTGATGACGTTTCAATTTCGAACTCTCTACAAACGATTTACCACATTCTGCACATACGTGACCGCGGGGACCATGTGTAGCCGAATGCTTGCGCATTGCAGAATGATTACGAAATTCTTTATTACAATCGCGAAAAGTGCAGCGATACACAGTCGTTGTTCCTGTGGCTGTGCTCACTGTGGTAACAACCGATGTATTTTGCCTGGAAGTTGCAGAGGTAGAGCTAACATCTCCATTATTATTGACATTGTAATCATCGCTATTGTGTATAGGCACTGGCTTCTTTAAAGTAGAGGGAGGAGATTTTACTTTTGCCGCTGAATGACTGCTTGCATGTGTTGTTGCAGTAATGGTGGTTGGTTTCGTTTCTGTAACAGTTTGTTTATTTTGTTTGCTTAGGGCATTGTTTTCTTTCGGAGTTACACTGACTTCCGGGGGACTTTTTACGTTTTCTACTATATTTACGGTTTCAACTTCCTCTTCAACTATATCGCCGGTAAACGGATCGGGAACTATAACGTATTCGGGGGCATGCATAAGATTGTTTTCATCAATAATGAATTTTTCGAAAGGTTCCGGTACGTCCGGCATGTAATGTCCTTGTCTCAGAGGTCTTTTTTCTATACACTGACTACCCTCTTCGTCTTCGTCCTCTTCGTAGTCATCCTCTGAATTAAGTGCTGACCATAATGTAACATTGAACTCATCTTGTGTAATTCTTATGGGTACTTTGGTTTGCTTCCAACGTTTAGTGTTCGTTAATTTCTTGTCCGCGACTAAATGGTTATTTTGTTCGGCCATTGAAGAAACGGGAGAATTTAAAATCTCTGAGAATGCCTCCTCTTTAATCCACAATTGATCTTGCTCTTCGTTATGTTCTAGCTTGATATTGTGGTCGTCTATAACCGATGACGAAGACATATCAAATTGAGCTGGATCAATGGGTAATTGAGCAGGCACATATTCCACATATTCTGGCGTATGTTCTTCATTTTCTTCGCTATCTTGAGATGACTGCATTATCATTTGTGGTGGCATAGGCTCGGGTACAGCATAATATTGTATACTGTCGCCAGATATAAAAAATTCTCCCGGATCTATAACTATGTTCCCTTCTTCATCACGCTCATCGATGATTTCTTCAATTAAAAAACTTTCTCCAGCCGTTGGCACGCCGCTCACTAACTGTTCGTCTAACACCGATGCATATGGCTGCTCGACTATAGTAGTACTTGGTGGTAGAATGTGAGTAAAATATAACGGTGACGTTGTCGCATTACTTGAACATTGTATGGCAGCCGAAGCCAGTGATAAATTATTCACAATGGGTGCTGTGCTTGTTGAGCTCAGCGGAAAATTATGACTAGCCATTTGCTTTTGATACGTATTCTGTCGAAATTTGGATATTATTTTTTACACTTTCATTATTAATGCGTTTTGTTAAGAGCAATTACGTTATTTAACAGTATTCTTCATTTTTTTCTACATGACTTTTACCTGTTTGTTCTCTTAACATTTGGCAGCCTAGAGGCGTTGTGCTTCACACTTTTTGTCTTTGCTTAGTCGACTTTCACTTTTTTTTTTAATTTTATACAAGTCTCAAAATATAACGTATTTTTGGAACTTGTTTACATTAAGAAAAGGTAAATATTTTGAAAAAAGCCGGTAAATATGGCGGAATTCTATTTTCCAAAATGGCTCTTCAATTTTTTTTTCTATATTTCTCGAACAAAATGAATACTATTGCGACTCGCCAAGCAAAGTATCAGCTGTTCATTTTAGTGTGAAAAAGAGAAAAACCATTCACGAGAGTAACACTGGTATAGGGCGGGTATAAAAACTTTATATAACTAATTTTTTCTTACATCTGAAACTAAACTCAGGTGCAAGAATTTACAGAAATTATCCAATTACGTATAAATTAAATCGAATATAAAATCATAGAAAGATTTTTTAAACTTCCTTGATTTATTCGTAGTAGTAGTAGATTTATTCTTTCAGACATTTATCGAAATGCTTTATTTAAGTTGAAATACGAATTTAATAAAAAATAATCGCATCTAATGCGTGCGGGGCACAATTCGTAATCGCATAATTCACGAGCACATTGTTGACATTCAGAACACTATAAAATGTTGTCAGGGCATTTTGCAGATTTAAAAATTTACATGAAACTTTATGATCATTCTTACTACTTCTTGCAGTCATTCTTTTATTCATACTTTTTACTCATTAGTCATAAGTGCGATGATGTCGCATTCAGATTGATAGTCTGTGAAGGCTTTATATATAATAAATTGTATTTGTTTTGTTTGGATTGAAAATAGATTAAGGTCGGCACATGCTTAAAAAAACCGTTTACCAAGGCGTTACTCACGGCCACTAAAGAAGTGAAAGCAAAACCCGAGAAAGGTGAATCTGCAGACACAAAAAATCACCAGCACATTAAAATTTATGAGTTTTTCCGTGTCGGAGGTCATGTATGAGGCTCAAGCAACTGCCTCGTGGAATGCCATCATATATTTCAACTTTCACTGCAACACACGCTTGGATAAAAAGCCTGGTGTCCACAGAAGTATTTGAAGAGAGATTGAGAGGTTTAAAAGAATTCTACCAAGCTTCGTCAAATTAACGCAATCATAGGCTTTAGTGGTATCCACGGAAAGCATGACAACCACTTTACCAGCTTTCTTTAACTTCGCTATTGAAAAAGTTAGTTCATTGAAAAACATATTAGTAAATTTGATATTTTTAGATATAAGAACGAGCTGGAATAATGTTCCCACTTTTAGTATGGATATAAAGTCCCTTAAATAAGTCTTTACGTGCCTTAGGATTGCGAACAGTTTTTATACATCGCAAATCTAAGGGTACAAAGTTATTACACCAGCAACTATTAACATAACATGCATATAAAATTCTTCATATCGTCAGAAGCCCCAGCTGTAGTTTTCCTTATCGATTGTAAAACGTACATCAATTCGCGGAGGAAGAAAGGCGTATTACTGAGATTAGGAAAAGGAATTGAAGGTATTATAATCTGATTGTCATTTGGAATATAACTCGTGAGCATATCTGAGCACCTTTTATTGTCATTCTCATTCCAAATAGTGCAATCAATTAATTTTTGACTAAATTGTCGATGTCCGTTGATATAAATCCAGAAAAAAACGCGAGTAGCTATTGCTACACATATCTTAAATCATAATAGCTTTATATCCTTTTGACCTTTTCAACTACGGACCTCAATTTCTTCAATATTTTTATACACTCAATCAAATAATTTATGAATCAATTTCATTGAACTGTAGTATACAGTCAAACCTGTTTTTGTGCGGTAGGTAGGGACCGCAGAAAAAAAACCGCACAAAAAAAAATATTCAAAAACTTCATAAATAGCTATAAGACATAATTTTTCACAGCATATTAAAGAAAATTTTTTTTATGCGGTAGAGAGGGACCGCATAAAAAAAGTCTCACTTAGAAAATATGTCAAAGCTTTACGAAATAGCAAGAAAGTGCTTTCCAAACAAAATAAATAATTAAATTACACATTGAAATATTTAAAAAAATTTTAATTTCTAATTTTAAACAAGGAGAAATTTTCAAAATGTACATAATTCAATACTACACGTCGTAGTTCAAAACGCGCATATTAATCCTGTCTTAATGGTTAAAACGTCAGCAATCAACTAAAATGAAATGAACCTTACAAAATTTGGACCATCTACTCCTATTTTTGAATCCTGCCCCCATGTAAGGATTAAACTTACACTGTGTTAGGTTGCGTTTTGGGCCAGCTTCCTTATAAAAATGCACATGAAAAATATACCTTTATATAGAAACAAAATATAATTTTTGTGTTCTATAATTTGTAAAAAAATAAAAACTTGTTACACTATGTGGTGAAGGATATTTAATCGCCGGCCTGAGTCGACTGTAATGTTCTTAGTTGTTTTTGTAGAACTATGTATTAGATAAATATGAAGTATATGAGAGTAACGTCAAAGCTGAAGACTTACAAGTGCAAATGAGCCGTCAAGTCGGTTTCAGTGTCCACGTTCATTAAGATTTCCTATGGCTTGTGGCGCATCTATCTGTCTATCTATTTCTTTTGACGATTTGCAAATATTTAACTTTGTGTAAGTGTCTGTAACTTTTAAGCAAGCCGAGTGAGATTTTGGATAACCTCCACTGAAGGATTAGGTCGGGCTCATTTCGTCAAAACGTTTGCAAAACTCAAAAGGAAGCTTCATAGACCTGATGCAATAGGTATGGAAAATGGCTGTTGCAATGTGTACATACTCACTGATAGCAAAAAAAGTGATGCCAACACAGTTCAGATTGACCTAACCTCTCGGCGAAATTCAATGTGTCGATATTCATATACCGCACAAAAAAAAGCGCATAAAAAAATACCGCACAAAAACAGGTTTGACTGTAGAAGATTACTGAAACATTTGAGGCATAAGAACGACCCGTTTCCACCTAGGAAGGGTTAGCGAAGACTTTTGCTTCACAGCCATGAAAATGCAGCGTGTATAATTTATGTGTACTGTATTCTGCATAGTGTTCTTATAGGAAGAGGAATTAATGCTGAAATGAATTCAGAATCAATTGATTCTGTGGACGAAATTACCAACAGCAGCAATCCAACCGACATCCAAAGAGGAGGAATAGGAATTAGAACAAATTGTACAAACATGTTGTAATGTATGTAAAATAAAATATTTTATAAAAGCATTCACTTAAAAAAATTAAAATATCTCAACAACTTCATTTAAAAATATATAAGTATTTTAATATGCTCACTTCAAAAATCTTAAAAATAAATACAAAAACAAAAAAATTTTTTAATGTAAGCGAGCCCTGCATCTCAGTTGATTTCTCCAATGATTTAAAGACTGAAAATAAAATCGACATTGTTTTAATAAATACTTTTCTGTATATTCATTTAAACTTACTTCTTTCGATTTCTTCGCATTTCTGGCAGGTTCAGTCAAACCGTTTAGATTTGCACCCAATTTCTCCCATAAACTTTTCATTTGCTGTGGATTTATCGTATTTATTTAATTTTTTTTACTATCTCGGTTTTTTCCGACTTACGCCAAATACTAATGTAATTGCTCCTTTGATAACCTATTTACAATCTACACACACGCAAAGTAATATATTAAATATTACGTTAAAATTATGCATTAATACTTTACCGTCAATTTGTTCCATTTTGCCAATTTTTTTTTTTCTTTACAAAGCCGAATGCTTTCTTTTTTTTTCTCTCATTTTCTTGACACTACAATTTGTGATATTCATAAATTACCAACACTGTTTTAGCACAAAATTGTTATTGGAGAATTTATCTATCATTATGATATTTGATATAAAGTGACAGCAGCGACGGCAGTCAAACAAAAGCATAAATTTTATGATAGATGAACAATAATAATGTCAGAATAAGAAAGGCTGTGGGAGGAAATTGTTCGCTTTTGTATGTATATAAACATATGAAACAAAAACAAAAAAAAAACATAAAAGAAACAACAACAATTTATTTTAAACTTAGAAGTTGGTTATCTAATTTATGTTTCTTTTATACGAACTTTTTTTTTCTTCGTACATTTGACATTTTGGTTTATGCTTGATATTATTCGATAAGATATAAAAAACAAACGACAAATGCAAAGTAAAACATTTAAGCAATTTGTTTGCTAGATTTAACCACGTTGGAGAAGTCAGCCACTATGCTGGTTCCTTTAAATCCACTTTCTTTATTTCAATAATCATTAAAAAATCTAATTTGTTTTTATATTATTATTTATATAGACTTTTCCATTTTTTACTTTCCGAAGAACAAGTTTTCGTTTATGCTTACATCGATTTCCTTATTTTCATTTATCAAATAAAATGGCAACTCGGCTTCCCATTATATCTCCTACTTAGGACTTATTAGCCCGAAAAACAGAATAACACGACATTGTGTCAATCTCCTTATTTCTTACTACGCGAACAATAGATTAGACGTTTGCATATATATGGCTGGTTACCTTTTCTTATAAAATGATATAGAAGGACAGGCAAGCCTAACTTTTATTGTATCAACTAGCTGCGGCTTTAATTTTTCCCAAAGATATGGAAATATAAACGAAACTTTATTGGCTTTTCAGCCATTACGCTTCGAAAAATTTCGTGGGGTTCGTGTGAGCAGGCGACAATCACCAAAAAATTTTAATCATCTAAACAAACTTGCTCGTGATTGTCGTCAAATGTGCTCTCTGAGTTACGGGAAATCTGGCGATAGCAAAATTGCTGTCGCTGAAAGCAAATTTGCATTAATATTGAGTGTAAATCAAGTAAAGTCACCTAGAAAATTCTCTTTTAGAGTTGTGTGTGTATTATTATTATTATTATTATTATTAATTTCGCCAAAGAAATAAATTCTAAGACTAAACTCTTAAAAGCACTAGCATCTAAGGCTATCGGCTTTTATTATTAAAAACTCTACCGCACTTGAGATTCGAACCCACGACCATTGACTTGCTAGTCGAGATTACTCGCCTTCGGCTACTCAGGCGGATGTATGTGTAGAAAAACAGCTGTAAAAGAAAAATATAAGCAGACGTTGGATTTGAATTATTTTCCATTTTTAAAATTACACTTTCTACGGAACTAAATTCGTGGGTATGGAAAAAAAGCGGTAAATGTGCAGTTTTTTTTAAATATCGAGCTGACTTAAGGAATGTTAACCCTTGTGCGCATTCTCAGCATATTTTCCCTTTATGCTTGTTCATTGAAGAGGAGAACGACGAAACCTATGACGAACAGGAAACGATCACCACAAGAAGATTCGCCGCACTTGCGAAGCATTTTGATGACAATTTTGAACCATTTTACTGTAATTTTCAATGCCAAGTAACATTTCATTTAAATTTAAATGTCTTGTAAATCGATAATGATCTTTTTAACATTCAAATTCGTTTATAATTTTGTCTCTTAGCATAAATTTTACGTACTTATCATTTATTTTTGAATGTTTATAATTTTTTGCCATATATGGGTGTTTATAGAAAACAAACAAACGTCAACTTGGCATTCATCTCTTACGCCTCTTTCAATGCATTGTTCTACAAAATTTGACGGAAAGTATAGAAAAGTGGCGATAATGATACTTGATTTGCCCTTTGGTGACACTTAACTGCATTCAAAAACAAACAAGGCAAGAATAACAACGACAGTGGCCTAGGACATCTGAGTATGTATAGTAGCAGTCTCCATATGGAACGTTGGAGAACACCAACACTACGATGTTTCTCTATTAAAGTGAATTTCGAAAGATATTGACCTTAAAGAGAGATTACAGAACGCACTTGTGTTGTGTGAATGCTCAATTAGCAAAGACATAATATTTACCGATCATGAATTCGCAGCCTGCCATTTGCTCCCTACTTTTTCTTTCTCTTCATCAGCTTGCAGAGTGACAGATCAAATTGAAAGAAAAAAAACCTTTTTTTTATTATTAGGTTACATTGACATTCACCATAAGTTTCTTCTTTTATTTCTCCTCCGCTACTTCGACCGGTCCAAATTTTTCACATCAATGTAGTGTACCAAAATATCATTGTTCAGGGATTTTTATTAAGAAATCGTCGAAGTCGCAAATGTTTATCACATAACGACTTTTTCAAAACAAAGAGTTATAAAGATATCTCAATACATCAGATTTCCCCGAATTTACGAAATTACGATCTTCGGTAGACAGCAAATTGAAATTGGAAATTTATATCTCTTACTTATTTTTCTATTCTATACATTTACTTTAAATATGCTATAAATAAATAAATATTTTCTGCAAAAGTCTTAAAAATAGACTTGAAAGGACCAACCGTGCTACGAGGTCGTAAAACCCAAAAGCTCCTTCCATACGTCCACTTCCAAATCGGTTTTAATACTGCTCGATCTTTAGCTACTACCCATTAGACTCGGCATAAAATATTATTTACATAAAGGAACCTCTTGACTCACATGGCATAATGAAAATGTACACATTATAAAAGAAATTTTTTTTATTCTTTGAAAATATTTGTAAACAAATAATGGAAGAATTATAGAACTGAAAGAGCGAAACGGGACATTGTCGAATTTAGTTGGAATCATTGTACATTTTTTCAAATTACAATTTTTTTAACAATAAAATTTCGGGTAAATAAATTCTTTCTAACTTTATATCAACAAACTGTTCGTGCCTGGTTTTCAAAGCCGGCAGTTCGTGGCGGAAATAGATCTTTTGAAAATGTAAATGCTTGTTATCGCTTGCGACATTTACTTTGAAATATTCACAATCTTTAAACAATTCTTCTTTAGTGGCGTGGGCGGTAAGGGAAAGTACAAAATTTGCTGGTACCAAAAATTTGCTGTGATAGGCAGATGTAAACATTTCCAAAAGTTTCTTTCTTAGCATTTGTAATTTCAGAGAACCAATTGCACATAAAACGTGGGGAAGGTTTTGTAAACCAATGAGCACACGATACAAATTGCCTTGAAAGTAACTTAAGCATATTTTAAACGCCAAGGCAAAGACAGCATTTGACCTAAAACGATCAATCAAAGAAATCAATCGTTTTCTCTATATACTACTATACTTACTTTATTTCTCGAGGAACAAGAGCGCATCTACTTAAAGCTTCGGCAGAGCCCAAGTTGAAAATTTGATATAAGCCCTCTATATATGCTCTATTTTTTATTTCCGCTTCAGTCATTTCGTTGCACGCTATGTTATCATAAGAAACTAAAGCGCGCTTTAAGCATTCTTGCAGATGCAGCTCGCAAATTTTTTCATCAAAATTCCCAGTAGTTTCTTCGCATAGTTTATAACGGCTAAAAGCTAAAAACATGATCATGGGCTCTAGTAATTTGATGGTTTGCATATCCTCGAAATTTTGTATAACAACTTCCTGTCGTATGGCCCGTAATCGATCAAATATAAAATCATAAACATAGCAGAACGATTTGCGTTTATCTAAAACCACTCTGTTACGAAAATATCACATTTAAGAAATATTTCAATTTTAACAATTGTCACTGTACTTACTCCTTTAGCAAATACTCTGTCGTTTTATGCAAACATTTTATAGTTCTTAAATCTTTTCCTTTCGGTACTCTTAAACCAGCTGCCGATCTGGCAAAAGACTTTACTAGAATACCTGGGACACTTTTCTGACCATTTTTATACTCATAGAAATGCAAGAGTTTTTCACGTATACGCCTGTTTTGTTCATTTTCTTCATGATTGTTGCAAACTTTTAATTAAAGCAAAAACTTACAATTTAGCTTCGGATTGCGGACAGAATTCTTCACAAACGCCTTGAACAGACATTAGTTTTGTTTTTTAGAAAAAATAAGAGATAAAAATATTGCGACTATTCATATACTTTTCTGACAGTTGTATATATATATGAAGTATGAAGAGCATAGCTAAGGGTTGCCGAGAGGTAACATCCTAACGATGTTTTAATTTTCCGCTATATGTCGTTAAGCAATGACAAATTTTTATGAAATCAATTATGATTAGATAATTTGGATTTTGAACTCAAGCTTTTTAGAATTATGGCGACCTTATTCTGATTGCTATGCGGTCCTGAGAGGAAAAAATAGTTCTTTTGCATTTGAAAAAACGCAATAATCTATTGAATACATGGCGAGTATTTTAAAAAATTAAATATTAAGGGGTTGTCCTCTAACAGCTTAGCAAGAAAAACAGGTTACGACCATTCTGTCATCCGTTCGTTGATTTAGACATATCGTAAACTATATATGTTTGATCCGTTATTTAACGTGTAGTGCATGACAAAATTAGGACGAATCAATCTCTGTCAATGCCAAAGAAAATGGTTGAACAAGGCTTAACAGCACATATCATGATGTAACGACATATTTAAAAAAAAACCAAACGTATGTATGTTCTATAGATTTGGAACGTATGTAGTTGGCAATCGAACGATATGCTTGATGAAAAACAGTAGGATGCTGATTACCTATGGAGTTAACAAGGCTTCACATTCGAGTTTTAACCATTTTTACTTTATATATAAGAGTTGCGAAAAACGCTCTCTCAAAGCTGTCAAATCAAGTGTAGGCAAAATACCTTACGCTTTGCGTTAGTATTGACTGTCTATAAGAAAAACCAGCTGCAAATTGAAAATAAAATAAATTCTAAACAAAATTGTTTATGTTCTTGCAAACAGGTGAGCCAAAGAAAAATATTTTAAAAATGTGAAAGAGACGTAAATAAGTTCAATTTTTTTTTTTACGTTTAATTTCAACTATCCAAATCGCCAAAGTTTGCAATTATTTGTGAGTCATCAATCTTTCCATATATCATCATATACTATCACTAACATTGAGAAAACGCGAAGGATCAACAAATAATAAAAACTCATCGTTCTAGTGAATATATTGGTCTTATCACCAACAAGCCTAATCTATTTTACTGAACGAAACGTTCACGAAAATATACGCATCAGGCGGAATGGTTCCTTTGCTCATGTTACGTACATACATCAGCTTTATGATTTTCAGTAAAAATTAAAAAGTTAGCTTTTATTTATATAATAGCAAACAAGGATTGATTTTCAAGTCATTTTAAAACCTTATACATCCTTTATAGGTAAATTTATATATAAATGTATTATAAAAAATAAAAGTAAAACAACATATATTAAAATGGAAAGTTACATGATCTTGTTAGTAATTGCACTCTTGTAAACAAACAAACGTCAAATTCGCCGTTTATTTTCCCATTATTTTTTTCGAAATAAATTTCGAATGACTCACATGCAAATGGCTTTTAAGATACGCCGTTCATATGAGAGCTAGGTACAGAATCAGCGCCCATTACTCTCAATTCTCTGTTAGTATCACATTAGTAAACAGCTGACTGTCTTGTTTTGTTATTGTTTTGAGATAGTTTTAAACATAACGAAATTGTTCTTAATATCAAAATTGATTTACGTGATTAAAGGTTCTCGTTTTGTTATGTTATTGTTAGAAAAAATATTTGAACTTTTTTCTGGCAGAGCATTTTTGTAACGGAAAGTAAGTGGCAATAAATTGTTAAAACGAATTAAAAAATAAAGAGAGGAAGAGTTATGTAATCTGCAATTCTCTAGGATGCTATGGAATAGGTTCGTGGTTGGTCTCAGATCTCATATCTTGATACAAATGTGGCATCCTATTTATAACTACGGCTGCCTGAGGTGTATTAGTACTGAATTGGCCTCAGCCCTAAGACCGTTTTATTTTGCTGTTCACCCAGACCTGTTCGGTCAACATCCTAAACAACGTACCGTTAATGAGGATTCATTGAAACAGCTCAATGCTCACATAGAAATATTATATGAAGGAAAATATAACGCTTTACGAGAGGCAAAAACGTTAAAGTTTTACATACGCGTGGAGAATGCTGAGAATCGTGATACCTTTAAATTGATAACAATAACATTGGACAATCGTTTAAGAGATCCGAAAGTGATTGTACAAAAATTATTAGAGCTATGCAGTCTTCCTACAGATTATGTAAAAAGAATAAAAGACTCTGCTGGATTCTCAGCAACGACAACTGAATTTAAACCTGGTAGAGATTATAATTATGGTCCAGCGTTTATGGACTTTGAAGTACACTTTCGTGAGGTAAATAAAGAAAAATTCCTGTTATCTCGGCAATTGTGGAAACACATTACTTTCTAGGCTAAAGTCGAAAAAGAAACAACACTCGAGAAATGGATAGGGGAGAATGCAATGCTGGCAAAAGGACGTGCCGAAGATTTAATACCACTAATAGAAGAAGTGGAAAAGCTTAGACTAGAGCTTATTGAACGTTTCGGTTTGAAAGATGCTCGCTTTGATTGCGGCTGGAATTTCGAACATTTCCGTGGTTGCTTAAAAACACTTGAACGCCTCGAAAAAATGCATGCAAAGCACATGAAAAACTTGCGCGGCCGTATTGTGGTGTTTGCTCCATTTACTGGCATCAGTCTTGAGGGTCATGTAATGCTCTACACGGGTGACGTACTAAATAATTGGATCGAATTTATTAAAAACATTCCTATACATGATGCTTTCGTGAAACAAATACCTGTATATGAAAATACATTGTCACAAGTGTTGAGGAAAATAAAAATTGGACGCCGTAAATTTATGCCCAAGCAGCAAGCCAGAGAGTATGCTAGTCACCTTATCAAAGTTACAACCACAATAGGCGATTACTTAGGTCGTAACAAATTTCCCAAAAGTTGGCCGGCATCTTTGAGTGGTTATGAAATTGTGGTAGAATCAGAGGCAGGACCACTTATGGTCAGTCCGACGGGACAATTAATTGTACCAGCTGCTTGCCCCGGTTTCATGCTAGTCGATTTTATTACTAACAACCTAGACACAGCCGAAGAGTTAATGAAAAAGTATGCATACGAAAAGCACATAGAACGTGAACTAACGCAACAATGTATAGAACAACTGAAATTAAAAAATTTAACCAAAGAGGATCTTATAACACCAGATAAAATGATAAAAACTCTGACCGCGTTATTAAGATACAAAAGTGCACAATTCGAGGGACTTAATTTAAATATAAGTAATTATTATTCGGTATTGACCGACGGTGTTGTTTGCATACCATGGGATTTCAATACTCGATAGCAAAATAATTAGCAGAACTAAAAGGTATTTTGATTTCACTTTTACTCAAAAACAATGTGTGATTATTTTTTCCTCGATTCTTAATATAGTTGACAATTAGTTTTTCCTATTTTTTACAACGTTTCATAGTAAGCCCAATACACTCATCTCTTCTTTAATAGCACCTTTACATATATTTTAAATAGATTATTTAAAAATTTGCAATGAAATATTTTTCGAATTCCAATAAATATGTCTTTCGGTTAATATGAGATGAATGAAATGGACCAATTAGTACCTGTTTGTATGTCAGGAAGGCCGTTAAGATGTTTTTTCCTCTTTCTCAAAGAGGCACGTGCTGAATAGAATTGTGTGAGCGTAGAATTTATAAAGGTTTCAAATATAAACAATATTTATTTCTTGTGAATTTTTTCGTATTCATCTGCGCAATACAGTCAAGATTATGAAATGCTCGTAGTGCATAGAAATATGCATCACCGTTCACACGAGTGATATCTATATGCGATCAGTATGAATAGCATAAATGCGTGGGGCTTAGTTTTCATAACTTTGTTTAGCACACGGAATGTTGTTGTCATCTTTGTATGATAAAGTTTGAAAATCGTCTTAATTGTTCCCTATATGCATTCGGATTGATTTGAAAATTCTAAATAATATCAAAATTGTTCTTTTATTTTTTTCTTCTCTCTCACTCTCTCTCCCACTCTCTCTGTTTTTCTCTGTTACGTATTATATACAATGCGCCTATTATTAGTAAAATTCTTATGTAACAATTACGTAAGAAGATGATGAGACTTACAACTGTTCCGTTTTCGACATAAAAACCAGAAATATAATAAATAGCCGAAAACAGATATATCTTATATCTTCATCTTGCTGTTCATAATTAAGTGTTAATCTCAATCTTAGTTAAATACGACGAACAAATAAAAATAATTAAATATTTTAAAAATTGAAAATTTATAAAATTTTTATCTTAATTCAAATGATAAAATCTAATTAAAAAAAAGGTCAATTAGAACGTACAGTGGATTTTTATAAGTAGCAATGGATTTTACGAGTGTATATAGGGCGTTCAAATAAATACGTGCGCTTTTTCGAAAGCGCAAAAAGAATTAATCGCTGATTTTAAGAGAATGGTAAAAGATAGATATTTTTACCACTATTTTTACCATCTTTCTGAAAAATGATGAATTTTCCCGCCGAAAATACTTGTGATCTTTTCAGGTTGTTCAACATCGCAAGCATCGCTAGAAGAATGGGGCCGCTGTATAAACAAAGAATAACTCATCGATGGAAAGCAATGTTTATCGAAAGAGGTAATGTTTAATGAAGCATCGTGAAGGGAAACATATTCCAGTGCTGCCAACTTTTTCTGGTCGCCTTTTGCTATATGCCATCCATGTCAATATGCTGAAGGATGAGGACACAATAAGTTTTGGGCTATTGCGCTAGTTATTGCTAATATTCTCTGGCGATGATTTCCTTTGATTACTATTGCATCCTATAATGTGATCATCTCACCTACATCTTACATAATGTAATGTGATCAATCACCTTAGCTCTCCCGAATGGTGTCGTCATGGTTATCCGACTGCATCGTGGTTTTTTGCAATTTGAGATATTTCATTATCTACGACACAATTTAGCAGTGCTTTCGTTCGCATAGAATACGAGAAGTAACGGTTGCCGCTTTAAGCCCCCTTCTGCATAGGATTCGATTTATTGAAAGTTCATTAAAACTATGTTGTATGCATTCCAGCGGACGAAGTGTGTTGTTTAATGTGTTATGTATAAGGAGAATTCATAATCATGCCCACAGATAAAGCAACGTCATCTGTTACAAAAATTGATAAGAAAACTTATTTGAACACCTAATATGCCGCCTATTAATTATCGCTTAATCGACAAGTTCGCTCCATAGCACGAGACTTGTTCTACCCACATTGAAAGCAGTTTGAAACGAAGTCTGTCTAAATGTACGACGTAACGCAGATTTGATTTATTTACTTTTTATTATTTTTTTTAAATATGAATTTCATATATATATATATATATATATATATATATATATATATATATATATTTTAAACATAAAAATCATAATAAACATTTAACATAATTAAAAACTAAGCATTTCATTTTCTTAAAGATACCAAAGAAATTGTTGTTTGCTAGTAAAAAAAAAAACTGCTAGACACCGATGCGTCTAACTAGTGTAAGCAAGTTTATGTGCCAAAAGAACTACACGAAAAAATAATTCAAAGGATATTGAAGAAGGTATATAATTAAAAACTTTCCTCGTTCTCACTAAGATTTGCTTTATGAGAAAATGAAACTTTTTTTAAATTTAAATTGAAAGTATTGCCTAAAAACTTGTTAAAATTGTTTTTAATTTAGAGTAATATTTTTATTTTTGTTTTTATAATTTTTTTTTTTTTTTTTTTGTAACGAAATGAAGCTTTTTTTGTGTTAAGGTCATAAATGCTAAAAATGTAATAAAAATAAATATTTAAGTAATTATTCAAAAAAGAAATTTTATAAAAACAAATGTTTAACGATAAGAATAATTATAAAGAAAAAAAATATGTTTTTGTTTTATTTTTGCTTGTAAAAAACGTATATAAAAGCGTTGAGAGTACACACAATGCGCCTTCAGAAGCATAAGAAGTAAGCACAATATTATGAAGTAATTCGTTTTACGGGACGACAAAAACAAAATAATCGACACCATACACAAGAGGCAGATTTCGTAACAGATGAGAGCGACTTTTATTTTATTTTCATGTTCAGTTTTGTATATTAATTTTATTGTGGCAATGTTTGACTGGACTTTCGTTTTTCCTTTTCCTTATCTTTGTCTCTGTCTTTATCGCCTCCCTTACGGCCAAATATTCTAAATACGCCACTTCGTCGTTCTTCTTTATTTTTACTGGTTTTCACTCCAGACACGGACGATATCGATTGCGCCTCACTTTCGCTGGAACTTTCAGCAGAGACACGTGACAAATTAATAGAATCGGGCTGTAAAGAAACTGGTCTACCGGTTTCAAAACGACTTGTACCCCAACCTAAAAATTGAATGAAAAAACGCAAAAGCATATAAGAGTCATTTAACATTTTAATAAAAAAAACATCATAGGATAGATAGCCATTTAGACCGTTCTGCCCACATAACAAAAACAACTACAAACAGTATTAAAGAATATCTTAAATAATTTCTAAAATCTTGTTCTTTTTTTTTTTTTAAAAATTTGAAGTAACTTGAAAAGACTTTTGACATCCTTGAAAACATGCAGTAATAGAAAGCTTCAACAGTGAGAACGAGGGTGATGTGATCACGATTGATAACCTCAAAATTGCTCAGTGTCAGTCAACAATATCACAGTGCTCGATATAAAACTATCTTCTATACGCCTTTCAACAAGATAAGGCATATGGAAGACTTAAACTTAATGATCACGCTTAAATATCAGTTTAGGTTAGTTTAGGGTCCGACGCAATATAACACTCCAATGCCCTCTAGTGTTAGTTCTTTAGCACTTATTTGTATCTCTCCTACATGGTTTTGTTAAGGATCAAGGAAGATTTTAAGAAATGTTTCGAAGTGTTGCGAAAGGGTTGGAAGTGTCTTCAGCTTATTTGTCTTCCGATTTTTTGTATTTAAATTACATGTCTTCTTCTGTTAATTTTGTGAAATCGAAAAAAAAACTGTACGTAAAGAAAAATAAAATAAACTTTGATTTACGTTTATTATCTAATCACGAATATTGTGAATCGAAGGACCGCTAGGCGCACTAGGTATAAATTTGATTTATCATTAGTCAACGGGTATTTGTTGTGAGAAATAAAAAAAAAGTAATTGCTAACTATTTGCAATTCAAGAAGGATTACGTCTTGTCCTTAAATATTTGGACTTTATTTCCATGCACATTTCAAATAGATGTAGCGGTGAAACTGGTTAGCTGGAAATTATGTATAAATTCAAGTTCTTTCCATTTCCAAGTATATGGAAAATGGTACATGAATTGCATTTGACTTAAACATACCCTGCATAAAATGTGTTTTTATTCTGTGGCAATGGAAAGTAAGCCAAATTTGCAGCAATTGTAAAGGTATTTCAGTCGCACTTCCTACAAGAATTACTATGTACGGAACAAGGAGAAAAAAGGAGTTTGATTTCCAGACGTGAAGCTGTAATAATCTCCAAATATTTTGCATAGACAGGGATGGACTATTAGGCAGGAGAAGAGAGATTATTCGAAATCCATGCCATCTACCTAGAGATTTGGTTGAAACCTCGTCAACTCTTGCCGCCTGGTTTCCGACTGTGATTATTAAAAAAACATTGAAAGTAAAATTTTGCTTATGCTGAAGATAATCTGTCAGTCTGTCCTAAAATTAGAAAATTATTAATTGATTTGCGGTTTAGTTGTTGTTCTCCAGTTCGGGAAGTTTAATCTGTATTATAAAAAATTAAAAATCAACCCTTTTATCATCCTTATAGTGATTAGGAGGGAGATGCATTTCGATAAGTATAATATATCGGACTTGTCTAAATTTTCCAATTATTTTAATGCATGCATTCCGTTGCGTGTGAAAATGATCGGTCAGGGGCTGAGTTAAAAGAGAGCATTGTTTCTTATATTAGCGCTCATAAGGAAGATCTTGTTAAAGTCGATTTGTATTTTTAACAGCATATAGAAAATATTTTAAAATATGCGGTTATATCTTATATCGGAGGTCTTATCACAAGATTTGAGAAATTTTTTAAAAAGATTTTTTATGTTTTCTTTTCAACGTTAAAAAATTTGTTTATAAAAAATTGTAAATCACTTTATAAATGATTACAGCAAGTCTAGGAATTAACAATGCAAATTTTTTTTAATAAGTTATGTTACAAATTGGTTTATATGTGTGTTATTTTGCTCTTTTAATCTCACACTTCGAATCTCTGTCTATTGAATGTCTTGACATCATAGATGTCTTTACGCTTACAAATGTTGGAGGTTGTGCCAATAACTGCTATGAGAGAGGAGTTTTTTTTTTTTGAAATGCTTAAAAATGAGGCGAAAAGCCCAGGGGTCAGTAAGTGTTAATGTATTGTATCATGACAGTCAATTAAACACCACTTAGCGCTGAACAATCAATATCAGTTTTGATAAAAAAATATACTTTAAAAATAATTTAAATTGCGCACACACACACGCATATATATATATATATATATTTTCATCAAACCGTAATAGCTTAGAAAATGAAAGCACTAGCCTCCAACTTGACTAGATCCTCCCCCCTGCTGTTTGATGAGGCATTTACCAGTATAGCTAAAGAATCACTTGAAGAAATCGACGCATTGCAAGTGACTAGTAGTGGTCGTTATTTTTTCATATTAAGCTGACAAATAATTTTATTTTTTTAAATAAAAAATTTCATTATTAATTGCTAGACTGTCGGCATTATATTCTGTTAATACTACTAGAAATAGTTAAAAATATCGTAAATTAATTAATTACTTTGGAGACTAGTGCGTATATAGGATCGTCTCAATTTGTAATTGACCAGTGAAGGTCCTTAAATTTTTTGTTTTAGTTATTATAGTTGAGCATGCGATAGAAAAGAGAATGCATAAAGGAGTTTGTTGTTAGTAATGTAAATTAAAAAAGAATATATGAAAATTTGAAGTAACATAATTAACTTAGTAAAACACAAAGCAGCTTAACAATGACTTATGGAAACGGTTAGTAAAAAACAGAAAAATGAGAGAAAATAACCAATACCGTCGTTATTATTGTTATTGGTGAAACTCATGTAACTGGGATTATTTATGGAATTATTTTCAATGGTATTCGATGTTGTTGATGATGTTGCAGTAAAATGCCATACAGTACGACTATGCTGAGCTGTCGTTGATGTTGCTGTATTGTTTGACTTTGATGATATTGAGCTTTTCGTATGACAAGATGAATTTTTGCTAATTTTTTGGTGACTTTTACCGTTATTATTGTTATTTTTACTGCTGCCCATCAGATTATTTGTATAATTATTGCCGCTGGAATTGGAATTAATTGAATTGCTGCTGTTTAAGGAGCGTTTGGCTGTAGCTGCTGTTGGAGGCTGCATAAGAAGATTGTTAACATTGGTCGCTTCCATTTCAATAAACTTTGTTACAACATCAGAACGACCTAAGCTGCCACGCGGAGCAACTGACAGATTGTATTGCTGTTGTTGCTGTTGTTGCTGTTGTAGTCTTAAATGATTACATTGATGCTCGGATTGTTGCTGCTGGCCTGCTGCCGCCGCAGCGGCATTGAAAGCATTAATACGCTGCTGTACTTGCACTTGGTGTTGATGCATTTGCTGGCCACCGGATATACCTTTCTTTTTATTGCCACCATTGCCATGGTTACCCATGGGCGGCATGGTCGTTGGTAAGGGTGGAGGGTTTTCTATGTTCGTAGGAGAGTTTTATGGTTTCATTATGAACATGTAAAAAATGGTAAAATTTTTGTTTATGACGATATTGTGGAGGAGAGGAAGAGAAAGGGACAAAATACATACAATGATATTATTATTACAAATGGGTTTATTGAAAAGCTAATCCAAAGGACGGTTTACAAATTCACAAATTCTCTTACGAAATGAATGTCACTTACCTGATTGTCTCGATTCGGCGTGACGTTTAATACTTATGTCATCGTTCGAACCATTCGATAAGCGGCACATATTGCCGCCTATTAGGGTGTCCGAATTAAATTCTACGGTGAAAATTATACGACATAAAACAAAAATTTCAAATTAAATATGTACATGAGTTTGCGTAAAATACTAAAAACTTTACACGACAATGTCTGGCTAACTTTCTATAATGGCGCATTTACCTGTGTGGGGGTTTAGAGGGTTTCGTAGTACGACTATATTGTCTTTACTTTGGCGATGGGGTATTGGTATTGTGGCAACACGCGGTGGTATAGGTGGTTTGTGTTCGAAACCATACGAGCTTGTTGGAGAT